GTTTCTGTAAAATACATTAAAATATTTAATAAAATAGAAAAATTAATTTGATAAAGTACAAATTAAAATATAGCTGTACCTGTTTTGTATTTGATGTTTTGAACTTTTAAAATATTTCATGGTAAAACCAGAAGCTGCTCTTCACATTAGTGACAAACTTTGGTGTTTTTTGATGAGTTTCTTTCATTTTTGCTTCTATTTTTCATTTAAAATAAGTTTTTAAGGCTCTTCTTCTACGCATTAAAAAGGTTGTTAAACATCTGAGTGGTGCACTACTGCTACTAGTGGTGAGAAAGTGTATTGCACCTTATTCAAAATCAATGTGGTCCTGCGGCCCAAAGTTAAAAACTGTTGTTCTTCTGAGGCCCTCAAGGTGGCGCTCAGCCCAGTTACATACATGCTCTGATCCAACCTTCAGGTTTTACAGAATTCAAGGGGAGGAGCCTCATGGTTCACACTTATGAGGCCAAAAACCAAACTAATCTGTGTGTGTTAAACATGTCCTGATCCAGTGAAGCACACAGTCATCACTGGATCTACACCGAGTCAACACGAACACGTCATGTTGGTGAAAACTCTACAAGCTCAGCCGTTTTTGGCGGTTACCTCCTGCTGCATCTTCTCCATGTCCTCGATCACGTTCTTCGGTTGTTGCGAAAGCGGCGTCAGTTTGTCCAGCTCCGTCTTCACGAAGTCCTTCACCTGCAGAGCGCCCAACAAACAGGAAGTTCAGTCACCCCACCCCCGACCGAGCGCGAAGCGGACGAACCGACGACGTCACTTCCTGTCTTACCTTGCTGCCGCCCACGGCTCCCAGGATGCCCGCTACCAGCAGGAGGATGAAGATGAGGAGGAGGAAGATGAAGAACTGAGGAAAGGAAGGATGCAGTTATTAGTGTAGAAACATTAGCTGTTAGCTTTTTGCTACTTTCAGCTGATGTTTTGCCATCTTTGGCTCCTCTTGTGCTAATTTTATCTTTCGGCTTGCTTTGTCGCCGACAGTGAAACACGCACCAGGATCAGCATGCAGCGGCTCTCTTTGTACGCGCCGCAGCAGCCGAGGAAGCCCAGCACCATGATGATGGAGCCGATGGCTATCATSAGCTCAAAGCTGGGAAGAATGTTCTGGATCACCTTGTGGGAAACAAAACAAGAAGCTCAGTCACAGTAGAAACCAGAGCGGACACATCGAGGAGCTGAAAGGTGATAAAAAAAACGAGACTTACTGGGATTTTAGCGTTGGAAACTTTAAGGTAGATGCCGACGCCCAGGATGATGCAGCCGCTGAGCTGAGGATGACAGGATGAAGGTTAGAAACACAAAGTTCTGTTCGCTTGTTTGGAGCCCCGTAGGTTTAAACTCATCACTAATAAAAGCTCATTTGAACTGCCAGAGGTTTTCAGCTAAACTCAGCTGCAGATTAATCAGCCTCCCCTCCAGCCTGAGGGTCATTAGGGTCTTTGTTTGATGACGAGGACTGAATAAACTTCATGGATGTGACCAAAACCTTGTTAATGTTGCTGTGAGGCAAACAAAGACCCTAATGACCCTCAGGCTGGAGGGGAGGCAGATTAATCTGCAGGTGAATTCAGCTGCATAAAGAGAAGTTAAAGCTCCTCAGATGGAACATAAAACTGTTAAAAAAACATCCGGCTGCTTTGCTTTTAGAATCTGTCGCAAAATGAACCAAATCATTTTTTTTTTACTTTAAGCCTCGACTTTGTCAGAATTTATGTTTTTTACTGCAGATTTACTGCCAGATCAATGTGTATGTTTAAAAAGGATCCATGATTAGTTGTAACATTAGACTTTATTTGATAAACATTTATTTTAACTGTAAAATAAAGACTAAAAATACTGTAGGATGTTTAGTTTTTATAATATATTTTAACACGGACGGAGCCATTTTATTTCCACACAAAGCATTCTGGGTAAATGATGACGTGGATAGGTCCTCGGTGCGAGGCTGCTAGCGAGCTATATCCA